ACAAGTTGCTTAAGCAGGAAGGGAAGCAAAATATGATCAAGTAACTTTGCCTTTGTCGTTCGTCGTTGTTCCTTTACAATTGGCCGAGTCACTATTGCATGGAGAAACGAGGTTGCACTGCATGGCTTTGCCTTTGTTCTTTGATGCAAAAATATTTTTAAATCACTCAAGTTATTGAAACATGAGTATAAAGTTCTTGTGACGTGATATCAAGAGTATTTTTTTACCAACGGGTTTCGTTGTGGTTGAACCAGAGAAAAATAATAGAATTAAAAGACACAGAGTGTTGAGCGATTACACGTAGAAAATATTTTTTTTGGCCGCTATATGTTATGACAAAAATTACATAGTTTTCTCATTTTTATCGTCATAATAGTTTTTATTTGCTTTATCTTCACTCAAAGTGTGTTTTTGTAGTTTTAGGAATTCGCATACATCGATTGCATGTCTATGAATTTTAACACTTCTACGGCATGTCATTCGAATACATCATCAGGTGCCGTACCAAAGAAAAACGACACCAGAACCGCCAATCTATACTAGCCCAGAACATCCTCCAGAATCAATTACGATTCAATACAACGTTTCCAAAGGTAAAGGGGTCCTAGAATTTGCAAACGTGCAAAAAGCTGGGGTGCCAGATGGATTCTATTCATACATAAAATCCTTTCTTCTCTTGCAATAAACTTCAAATCTTATGTTGGGGCAACCACATGAAAGAGGGAAAATTATATGAAATAAATCATGCAAATTGAGTGTACCCCAAATGGGCGTCAAACTCAATCATCTAAGGTCTCGATTATACGTATAGGCCGTTGAAAATTCAAAATTGGGATGCAAATGAATTTTGACCAACAAAAGTCCCGTGGAAGACCTCCTAAGCATGCAAGGAATTCCTTGTCCTCCATTAACTTGAAAGGAAAACCTCGAAAAAAATCCAAAACTATCACTGTTAAAAAAAATTACAAAAATACCACCCATTCCCAACAATTTCCAAAAAACCACCGTTTATTACAAATCGCGCCTCTAAGGGGTGGTTAATACATCAGAAACGCCTGGTCAACAGGCGGTTTTCCATTTAAGGTAAAACCGCTCATCGAAGGCGTGGTTTATATGGCTTCCCTACCACAAAACGCTTCGTGAGGAAGCGTTTATATGTCGGCTTGGTAAACCGCACCACCAGGCCGCGGTTTACCATGTGCAGACATACACCGCTTCCCCCACTGGCAGTTTGTGCAAAGTAAACCGCTGCCCCAAGGTGCAGTTTGTGCCTGGTCACCCGACAACCAACATGTCGGCATGCAGGGGGTGGGGCTGCATGGCAGACCTAAAACCGCTCTCCCACCCCGCCCCTGCGGTTTGTACTGTAAAATTTGCCTATAAAAGGCTGTTCCAGAGAACTCAAAATCTTCACTCCTCCTCCTTCTTCTTCAAATTTCAGTTGTGCACCTTTAAATTATTTAGTTTTTGCGAATAACGTTAATTCGTAAGTTTATTTTGTATTACTTTTCATTGTCCTTTGTGATTTTATGTAAGTAACTTAATTACAGTTTTATTGCAGATGGCATTCCAAAGGTTCATGCTTGGGTTGCGGTGGAATGGTTACACGGAAGAGACTGAAAAGGGTGTAAGTTATGTCGGTGGCAATTTTTATAAAATGAAGGTCCGTACGAGACCAATGCTTGAAGAGCTCCATCAAATGTGCACTCAAATTACCTGCATGGATGACACTAGAAGAGTTGATCAAATGGTGTATCGATATCCAAATAGACATGACGGGTCGCTGTGGAATGAGGAATTCCTCTTTACCACTCAGAAGGACGTTGATGCCATGGTCCAATTTTTGACCACCAATAAAATTAAGCAAGCAGAGATGTTCGTTTACACCGAGGACGTCGAAGGCGGTGTAGTTCATTCTGGAGATGGCCAAACATCTGGTATCCACGGTGGGAGTGTATTATACGAAGATCATCCCCACTAGGAGTACCAAGACTCGAGCTGGAGGCCGGAGTATCATGATGGAACTGGAGGTCATCATCAATCCTTCCCTTCATATGAAGAAGAAGTTCAACAAGTGGATGAGAACCAACAAGCAGGCTACCAGTACCCACCCGAGTACAACTTCTACCAAAGCGGTGTTAGTTACCACAACTACCATTACGGAGCTGGTGAAGGTGAAGGTGCCTTTCATGATGATCATCAAATGGAAGAAGAGGTCAATCCAAGTCCAGTTAGTGACCCTGAGGTTGAAGAAGAGGAATGCGATGTTAGTGCAGATAGCTTCGATCCTCTGGAAGGTGCTGATGATTCCGGTCCAGATTCATACGCGCGGTTTGAATGTGAACCGCGCCTTCGAGGCGCGTTTTGACTTAGAACCGCGCCTCCGAGGCGCGTTTTGTGTGGAAGGGTGCTATTTTTGGAAATTGTTGAGTATGGGTGGTATATTTGTATTTTTTTTTTTATAGTGGTAGTTTTGGATTTTTTTCCGAAAACCTCTTCCTTAAATAAAGAGAACAAGAGAGCCAAATCACTACTCCTTGTGGGAAAAAGGGACTTCACCATATAAATACCTCTCATCTACCTTTTTTTACCCACATCATCATCTACTGTGATACCTCGACTTCGATTTAAGGTCCAACAACAAGTATTGGACCATTAAGTGGAATCGAAAATTGTATTCCATCACCCGCGCGAGGGAATTAAAGAGGACTAGTAGCCAGTTAAAGCTACTCGATGCTAACAACTTTGGGTGAGAATACCCTTATGGTCAAGAGGGAATAGAATAAGTGAGGTAAACTATACGGGTCAAGCAACGGACATCATCAAATTTCATTGAGCGAGAGTAAATTCTCAAGACAAGGAAGTACAAGAATGAGGAGTATGGGAAAATGAGTCCGAGCAAATTTCGGGGGCGAAATTTTTATATGGGTGGAAGAAATGTTACACCCCGCTCTTTACAAAAGTCAAAATGACTCTTATACTCTCGGTAAAATTTATCAAATTCCACCGTTACATTTAAGAGGACTCAAATCGTGAACTAACGGTTCAAACGGTGACAAATTTCGATATAAAACAAGAAGGTCACGAATGTTTTTAATTGTGACTAGTTGTTATGGGTTGGTTTGGGCCGAGAAGGAGGAGTGGGCCTGGGTTGTGAATGCCCAGATTGTGAAATAAAAGAAATGAGCTTTGGCCCAAAAGGGAAGAAGATGAAAAGAGAGGAAAGAGAGAGCTGGGCTAGGCTGGCGGCCCAAAGAGAAGAAGAAGGAAGAGAGGAGGAAGAAGTGGTTGAAGTCTGCTTATTTTTGAATTAAAAGTTTGAGGAGATGATGGGCTTAGCCCGACTTGCTGAGTGGGGAGATTTGTGCGCCTTTGGGTCACTTGTGGTTGGGCTGAGAAAGGAAGAAGTTCCGGGCTAAAGCCCACTCGGCTGAAAGGGAAGACAGAAGGATCGTTCTCCTTCCCCTGGAACTCAAAATGGAAGGAAATTGAAGCAGAGCGACAGATGGAGTTTCACCAGGAATTTGGATATAACGGAAGAAATAAATTTTGGGTTTGTTTAATTACAAGTTAATGGTTTTAATGGGGTTTTTAATTGGAGTTAGTGGTTGTGTAAATCGAGAGGTTTTAAGTTTGGAAACTATGCTATTTTCCTCAAAGAAAGGAGCGTGAGACAAGCTGTGTGGGCAGGGAGAAAAGAATTCGCCCCAGCAAGGAGGAGACGAGTGCGGGCAAAACTATGAAGAAGTGGACAGGCTCACATACAAGAGGAGGGAAGATGGTTCGGGGTCGTGAGAGGGCGTTCAGAGCCTCGATGACGGCGGCCGCACTAGGGACCAGCGGCGAGCTCGTCTGCACGCAGACGGGAGTTGGCGCCGGAAGAGGGGAAGACGAGGTGACGGCGACCATGAGGCAGCGAGATTATCCTCCCAGACGACGAGGAGTCTCGGCGATCCGTCACTGGCCTCCAAATTGTGGCCCGAGGAGGGGTGTCGAAGATGATGGCGGCTGCGGGAAGCTCCAAGCGGCGGCAGACAGTGAACCGTTGCTTGAGGAAGAAGAAGAGGAGCCAGAGGAGTGCGATTTTTATGGGTTCGGAGATGGGGAGAAGGACGACTGTGACGGTGGGAGCCGCAACGTCGACGGCGGCGGCGGTGTGCAGGTGAGATGTTCTCCCGTTTTATTGGAATTCAATGACATCAAATTGAAAATTTGATGAATAGTTAGAGGCGTATATGTCTTTTAGGAGTTGGGGTGATTTGGTAAAGTTCAGGAAGTTTGGGCGCCGTAAAGTAATTGACCAGACTTGGGGCGAGTTCGCAATTAGTAAATGTTTGGGTATCGGATTGGAAATAAGGCCGTTTAGACTGAAATGTTTAGAACATAAAGTGAAAATTGGCTTGGGGGACTGAATTGTGCAATTCTGGAAATTTGAGCCGAATTGATAAGAACCAGGAATTTCGAGTATCATTCTATAATTTGCCATTTTGGGGTAAAAAGGTAATTTTTCAAAATTTTATGGGGAAACCTAAAAAAGATTAAATGGAGGAATTGGGATCTAAATTAACCAAATTGAAGGTCGTTTGGTTAGTTACGCTTAGAGATAAGTGACCGACGTCACCATTCGAAACTCCACGCTCCAACTCCTCGTGCTTCGCCTCCTTTTGTGTTTCCTCCTATTAAATATTTAGGCAAAACTTAACTCACTTATCTCTAAGCGTAACTAACCAAAAGATCTTCAATTTGATTAATTTCGATCCAATTTCATCCATTTAATCTTTTCTAGGTTTCCCCATAAAATTCTGGAAAATTACCTTTTTGCCCCAAAATGGCAAATTACAGAATGATACTCGAAATTCCTGGTTCTTATTAATTCGGCTCAAATTTCCAGAATTGCTCAATTCAGTCCCCCAAGCCAATTTTCACTTTCTGATTTAAACATTTCAGTCCAAACGGCCTTATTTCCAATCCGACACCCAAACATTTACTAATTGCGAACTCGCCCAAGCCTGGTCAATTACTTTACGCCGCCCAAACTTCCTGAACTTTACCAAATCGCCCCAACTTCTAAAATACATATACGCCCCTAACTATTCATCAAATTTTCAATTTGATGCCATTGAATTCCAATAAAATGGGAGAACATCTCACCTGCACACCACCGTCGCCGTCGACGTTGCGGCTTCGGCCATCATCGCCGTCGTCCTTCTCCCCATCTCCGAACCCCAACAATCGCACTCCTCCAGATCCTCTTCTTCTTCCTCGAGCAACGGTTCACCGTCTGCCGCCGCCTGGAGCTTCCCGCCGCCGCCATCATCTTCGACACCCCTCCTCGCGCCTCAATTTGGAGGCCAGCGATGGATCGCCGAGACTCCTCATCGTCTGGGAGGATAATCTCGCGGCCTCATGGTCGCCATCACCTCGTCTTCCCCTCTGTCGGCGCCAACTCCCGTCTGCGTGCAGACGAGCTCGCTGGTGGTCCCCGGTGCGGCCGCCGTCATCGAGGCTCTGAACACCCTATCACGACCCCGAACCATCTTTCCTCCTCTTCTATGTGATCGTGTCCACTTCTTCGTAGTTTTGCCCGCACTTGTCTCTTCCTTGCTTGAGCTAATTCTTTTCTCCCTGCCCATACACTTGTCTCACGCTCCTTTGTTTGAGGAAAATAGCACCGTTTCCAAACTTAAAACCTCTTGATTTACACAGTCACTAACTCCAATTAAAACCCCCATTAAAACCATTAACTTGTAATTAAACAAAGCCCCAAATTTATTTATTCTGTTATATCCAAATTCCTGGTGAAACTCCATCTCCGCTTCGTGTCCCACCGCTGCCGCTCTGCTTCAATTTCCTTCCGTTTTGAGTTCCAGGGGAAGGAGAACGATCCTTCTGTCTTCCCTTTCAGCCGAGTGGGCTTTAGCCCCAACCTCCTTCCTATCTTAGCCCAACCACAAGTGACCCTAAGGCGCATAAATCTCCTCACTCAGCCACTCTGGCTAAGCCCATCATCTCCTCAAACTTCTAATTAAAAATAAGCAGACTTCAGCCCACTTGTTCCTCCTCTCTTCCTTATTCGTCTCTTTGGGCCGGCAGCCCAACCCAGCTCTCTCTTTCCTCTCTTCTCATCTTCTTCCCTTTTCGGGCCAAAGCCAATTTTTTTTATTTCACAATCTGGCCATTCACAACCCAGGCCCACTCCTCCTTCTCGGCCCAAACCAACCCATAGCAACTAGTCACAATTAAAAACATTTGTAACCTTCTCGTTTTATATCGAAATTTGTCACCGTTCAAACCGTTAGTTCACGATTTGAGTCCTCTTAAATGTAACGGTGGAATTTGATAAATTTTACTGAGGGTATAAGAGTCATTTTGACTTTTGTATAGAGCGGGGTGTAACATCCACCACAATCAAAGTAGCAGCTTCTTCCTTAAAAATGAGATGGTTCCGCTCGTTCCACACGTGCCAGCAAATGGCATGCAAAACACAAAAATAGAGCCACTCCTTAACACCAGTAGGGGTCTCAGTGCGCCATGATTTAATCACGTTCATAATGTCTCCAGAAGGGATTCAAGCATAATCCGTTGCAGCTCCAATGATTCTCCAGACATCCCGGAAAAAGTGCAGTTGATGATAAGGTGATTAACGAACTCCTTATTGAACTGGCATAAGTACACCTATTCACCAAAGACCAGCCTCGACGTTGAAGATTATCGAGGGAGAGGATCTTCGTGTGCCAAACGAGCCACATGAAACCACATATCTTCATTGGAATAATGCTCTTCCAAACTAAACGGTATGGAAAGCCCTCCACTCTGGGAAAATGATCCTCATCTAGTGTTTTCCCCGTCGAGAAAAACTAGGTGGAACAGAATTGGATTTGCACCTTTGACTTCTTACAAATGATTAAATAACACAGTCCACACCTCTTTGAACAAAGTTAAAACAAGGGTGTTCGATGTTCTTGATGATCTACGAGACAAAGCTAAATTACATTAATCTACTCCTATGGAGGTTCAGCGAGAGCTCCGCAACTACAACTATGGCTATGACTACATTTGCAGAGGAAAAGATAAAAAGATAGATTTGACAATGGGTTGTCTGGTGTGATTTTGGCGAACCCCTTCTCTGTCATCTTCACCTCCTATTCATAGCCACCATAAGTAAATGTCTCAAGAAACTGCTCCGCTAACGTGGAGTGACAGTTACCCATTCAACTGCTATAACGGTTACCCTGACGTTGGATGTGTCCCCTTGACTTGGCCGAATTCAACCATCCAACTCCACCATAGTACCCTCCTTGCCATCCCAGGGAGTTGTGCTCGCTACTCCATGACCACGCCATGGGGGTGGTCGATGGTCCTATGATGATCACCCCCTAATCACAAAATGGGGCACCATCATTCTCCATACTTGGTCGTATTTCACTGCATGACCTCCCACCTCCTCGGCACCTCTCGGGGGGGGGGGGGGGGGGGGCGATATGATGACCACCCCCCTTGGCACCTCTTGGGGGTATGGTACCCCCCCCCCCGGCACATCATGAGGGTGTACCCACCCCCCTTACCACGTCATGGGGGTGGCAATATGGTGTCCACCCCCCCTCGGCACATGAGATGACTCCAGCACTTAGCCAAATTTGGGCACGCGTGATGACACAGAGTAATGGGCCCAAAAATCGAATCTGCGTGGCCCACCCAACCGATTTAAACGATTATAATCAAGTTGGCCTTATAAAGCCATTTAATTCCTTGTTTTTAACCGATGTGGTACAAGTTTAATTTTTGGTATAAACAAATGCCCCCAACTACTTAGTGCATAAGTATAATGGACTAAGTAGTTAACACCAAGTAAACCTGTGAACTTAAAATTAAAGAAATAGCAACGTGACATTCCCCTTCTTTTGTTTCCATCCATAGTTAGGCGTGGCCACTGCTAGCCGAAACACAATCATGAAACCAATGATTAGCGAATGTGCTCACCATTCTTTTCATATGGCCACTTAACAAACCAATCTATAACTTCCATAATTCCCTCGGAAACAATAAACCCAACCTAGTCTGGTTTCCAAATTTCCTTTCCCATAAAGAAATCAAAACCGAGAATAAAAGGAACTCTCTAATCAATTATTTATTTATTTATTTATTTATTCAAGTTCTCTCCTTTCTTCAATAGTTTACAGCTAGAAAGCCAAAACAACTTTTCAAATGATTTTTCTTCTTATAATATCATGGATAATAGGGATAAATCATTTCCATGTTTGACAATGACATTTAGTCTCCTTCTCTTTGTTGGACTCTTGTTGCCCCCCATAGTCGTTCCTTCGATTAAAACCGTGCTCCTCATGCCACTATGACCACCAAGACCTATGGTTATTTTGTAAACCACGTAGCATGGTACTCTATTGAAACTATTGGGCCAAAAACAACATCATGCCCCCTAGTTAATCCCAACGACTACTAATCACCCCCATGCCAATCACCATCGTCCCTGATGTCTTGTCATGGGGGTGTGGTTAACACCTTAGCAAGATTTAAAGGTTTGGCATGGTTAGGCCACCTTGATGGTCTAGCAGTATCAAAACTTGCAAATCACAGGTCCTAAAGAGAAGGGACACAAAGTTTATAAGTGGCATGGTATACTCAACACATCAAAAGAGTGAAAAGGCTCCATGGACCCAACCATTAACCCTTATATCCCAACATGATGTATTAAAGTCAACGTCCAGAGATTAGTGATTGAGGCTTACTAGTCATGGCAAGATCCTCACATTGAAACCTACCAACTTCTACTCAAACTCTCCAGTTCAACATTTTTAATACATAGCCATAATTGGCTTTTCTATATTAATATATTATTTTTTACCCTTTTAATACTTATTATATATAATAAGTTGTTACAAGCATCATTGATCCCTATACCCTTTGGCCATAACCAACGTGGCAAAGGTATACACCCACTGCCAAGTCCATGTGTTAAACCAAACAAGCCAACCATACACCATATGGTCATGGTTGTTCAACTGAGATGATTTTTCACAAGTTGACTTTATATCATCTCCTTCATCACCTTTCTAATCCCTGTCACACTTGGGGTTGAGATGTCCATCTTTGAGCATGTTTTTCCCGGCATGCTCACCAGTCTCATCTTCATAACCATCTCTCTCCTCATATGATATATTTTGCATACCTTTCTGAACCTCAACATCACACTTAACTTGGACATGCTTTCCCTTATCAGTCATTGTGAATTTTATACTCGGGGCCATACAGTTGTCCACCTCGATACTATCTTGAACATCATCATGATGTTGTGGTAGTCCCACCATTCCACCAGGTTCTACTGGGTATTGCCCTCGACGTGCTTTCGCATTCTTATGCATAAATCTTCTTCTTTGAGTTCTCGTCATCCCCCCAATAGCTACTGGTTATTGACGACCCATGTCAATAGTATGCCACCCTCCTTGTGGTACATTGGGTATCTTGAAAGTCCCTCTCATAGGAAGAGGACCATGTGCTACCCATTGCCTCCTTTGCCCCCAAGCCGGTTGAACGACCCCCTCTACTTGTCTTTGATAAGATAGCTATCTCGGCCTATGGGGTGGGCCAATTCTTTGTTGGACTGGTCAATTCGGTCTCACTTCTTCAAGACTAAGACTCCTTTTTCATTGGGCACATAGCTTCTCCACCTCACTGGACACCTTATACGCGACCGAGTTGGCCTGCTTGCCCCTCGATGACTCCCCCTGCTCGAACACCACATTGGGGGTCCTTGTTGCGGTGTTGTATCTAACACTAGCTTGAAATGGGGAAGCTCAATCTTGGAAAAGTCTGGATTAACCATGTTAACACCAAGCACGTTTGGAGATGGGTTGGTATCCACCAGCATGGCATCCTTCTTTAGCTCAGGTAACTTGATGCGACCCTTCTCGATGGCATCCTACAATACATTTCAAAAAACCACACACGAGTCAGTAGAGTGTGATATGCTATTATGCCACTTACAATATATCTTTCCTTTTAACTTCTCAAGGGGTGGGATGTTATGCCCCCACTGTCAACTTGATTTAATCATCTTTGTAGAGTTGGTCAAAAATTAAGTCAGCTTTGCAGATATCGCAGGAATACTTCCGTGGCTGGATGGGGGAACGATTTGGTCTACCCCCTTGTGATTCATTGTCCATCTTAGCCAAAAGAGCACATACATATGGCTTCCCCAGAGTTAACTCAACCAGGTCTACCCCCACCTCATTGGCCTCTTGGCCAATATGGTTAACAGGGTAGCCGATGTTGGGGATGTATTGCCCCCTTGAGGCACTCCTCCTATTCTCCTCTTCTTGAAGAAGAGATTAATATCTCACCACACAAGACATGAGTTGGAACAAGTCAGAAAATTCTCTATCTTGGAATTTCTTCCTTAACTCAAAACCGAACCCCCCCCCCCTTGTGCTAACTTGAAAAACTCTCTCTCTGTCAAGTTGACAAAGCAACACTTACGAGAATTCTTGAAGTTTGTCAAGAAGTTCTCCATTGATTCCCCTGGCTCTTGACGCAGTCGTGCCAAGTCAGCAAAAATCACGCTCAGATCTATAGAATTGAGCATGGAAGATTTGTTCCATTTGCTTCCATGTTTGGACAGAGTTGGATGGCAAGTTGACATACCAAGCAAAAGGAGGTTCTCTCAATGAGTTTCCAAATACACTTAACTTAATAAAGTCTCCTACATCCCCACACTGGACAATAAAATGTCTAATGTGCTCCACGGTAGACTGGTCCCCAGTTCCAGTGAACGTGGCAAACTCGGGCACCCTGAACCCCCTTGGGAATGGGTAGAGTCTATCCACCCACTCATGGTATGGTTTTCGATTAACAAGTAGGATGGTCGGTCTCACTCCCATGCCAAATTGCTCGGCAAGAAGTTGAGCCACCTGGTCCCTTAGAGTGTTGGGATCATGTCCCTGATGACTCGATATTTGCACATGTTTTCCCCTTTGTTTCTTGATCGTTTGAGATTTAATTATCGCGTCTTTGGCCTATTTTACGCTAGGTTGTGTTCCTTTGTCACATTTCAGGTCCTAGCACATAAAGTGAAGCATAGGCGCAAGTTTCAAGTCAATCAGAGATCAATTGGCGATTCGGGAGAAGAAACTCGGGCATGACCTGAAGAAGAATGGATTTCTACCTCACTTTCGATAGAGGGAGTCTAGTTCAGAACGCCTTGATCAGTTGTTCTAGAGAAGGATACGTCCCTCTAGGCAATTGACTCAAGAGGGCCTTGTTCCTTTAGTCGAGACTCAAGGTCTAGTCAAGGATTCTCCGCATTGTGAATGAAAGTGAAACAAGTTAGAAATCATCAATCGTTAGTCTGGCTAGTGGCTAGGGGGAATCATACCTAAGTGAGTTCCCAACCTGTAATTAGATTAACTTTAACTATAGTTTGCTAGAGTAGTTTTAGTTCTTTCATCTTAATCTGGTTTGCTAAATAATAAACTGAAGCTGAGTAATAGTAACTCTAGAGACCCGTGGATTCGATATTTATCACTTGAGCCACTATACTGCAGTTCCTTCCATTGGTTACACTTGGCCATTGTTAGGTGTTGTGTCGTAGCGAGTCAGTCCCCCTTGTTGCCCCCCTTGGGGTACGAACCCCATGGGGTCCATGCCATACCCATTGAAATGGGGTGGCATGGGTGTTGGGTATGCCCTCGGAGGAACTTGATCTCCTCCACCTAATCCTACTCCCCCTACCATGTGAGCAGGCATCGTATAGGGCCTTGCCACTGGTATGGGTATGGGTGGCGGTTCTACCGGAGGAGAATGTGTAACTCCCAAATTCTCACCACGTGGGGAAATTTCTCCTACTCCCACATTGGGTATCCCTTCCACTTGAGTAGTGGCAAGAATCTCGCCGTGATTCATGCGGTGAGGGGTTGGTTGGTTTTTCATCGGCGGAAAGAGGTCATCTTGTCGTTGCTGACCATTTCCACCGCCGAGGGGAGATGAACTAAAATTTCCAGAATTGTTATTAGGGTTTGAATTCACGCCATCTAATGGAAGAGCTCTGGATTGGATTATTGGCGTGGTTAAAAACC